GCCTCAAAAATGTGAAAAACAAAGTTAATTCGGGGCGCCCTGTTCGATTTGTTGCTTACGTGAGTCCCTTTTTCATTAAGCTGCATTTACAGATTAACCTGATTTTTCCCCAAAAGTCTAAGAGTGATTTTCGCCTTGTGTAAAAATACGGGTGAGCGCGAAAGCAGTTTGAATTCATCATCCGCACTGTCTCGAGATTCTTTGAGTCTTGATGTAACACTTGTTTTCTGAAGTTTTTTGCTGCTTCATTTTGTTATATTTTGGAGCTTCCTTAACTTCTGTGACGATTTCAGAGCAAAAAACATTCTTAGAAATCATTATTTTTGTGATTGTGTCTACTGAACGAAACAATTTAGGAACCAACTAATTTTGATGAGCGTGGTGGCCGGATTATTCGAAAATGAAGCTTTCGAAAAATTCAGTTTTTTTCGCAGTGATACCGGATAATTGTGTATATTGTTCTATTATTCAATGTATTTTTGTGCAAAAAATAAAATAAAATTGTACAAATAATGAAGTAATATTTCAAAACACAGAACTCGATGCTTCGTTCAACTGTTTTTCACTGTTCGCGTTTCTTCTCGCAATTGATGCAATTGGCAGCTTTCCTCCTCTCCTTTATCTTAGGCTTCTCACTGTGATTAAAAAAATAAGAGATTTACCAGTTATAAAATTAAGACGGTGTGCCTGTATTTTTTCGATGTCACTACGCTTTAGTAACATTCAAATCCATCATTCGAGTTACTTTTGTGTTTTCGGTTCGTCCGGTGAACTAAGATAAAATGATTTTCATCAAAAAATTGCTGTTTTGCAAGCCTAGAAAAGAATGAGGTCTTGGGATTTGCTCTCATGAAAACCAAAACGTGGTTTCACCAGTGGATCAGTGTAATGGGTTCATCTCACCAAAAATTTCTGCCCGCATATTCGTGGCAACATATTAATAAAAAAATCGCGGAGGAACTTAGAACAAAGAAGAAAATCGAAACCTTAATGGGCTTAGAGTAGCATTCGCCGGCTCTGCCATCTGAGCAACTTTCACCAGGGAATTACAAAATTTTTATTAAATCCCTTAGTGCTATGATTATAAAGATTGAGTTATTTTGGATGAGTCGATGTGACAGCATGAAGAGAAGGAGGATGAGAGGACAGCATGCCCAAAGCCCACCATTGCAGACCCGGAATGAAGAGGCCCATAATTTGGTTTCGGAAAGCTTCTTGGCCATTATTAAATCTAAATTAAGTGGTATTTGAAGTGAGTAGATTTTCGCAAAGCTTTAAATTAATGAATGAGAATGGGCATAGAAGAGAAAACGGGCAAGGGATAACGATGGACGACAAAAAAGAGGGAAGGAGATAAAGCATAGAAAAAACGCCTTTAGGTGAACAGTTGTTAAAATGTAATGTTTCAATTTTTTCAAGACCGCTGTGCGGGGAAACGACGCGGGTGCAAGGAAAGGGATACAAGGGATGATTAAATGTGCAAAA